CAGATGTAGGCGAACCACTGCCCTGAAAGAAGAATATACCATCACATAAATCTTACCTTCCACGCAAACTGTCTTTTCCTGACTACCTTTCACCGTCAAGTTCTGCTGAGTGAAAAGATAAAAAATAAAGGTTTTAAGATGGCTTGAAGCTACCATTGCTGCCTCAGAACAGGCCATCCCTTGCGTTTGGCTTTTTCCAGGTGATGGCAATGAATATGTTGGTGACATCTAAATAGCTGATTGCACATAGTTTGTTAATGCACTTGACAGATAGTACCAATCTTCCTGTGCTATTTCAGGAGACCACACAGGCAGGCACTTCGCGAATCATCGGTTCGTAACAGATGAAGGTGGTTGACAACATTCAGCTTGTAGACCGTACGTTACAGCGCTTTTACCTCGAAGGGTTGTTAACAAGTTTGTTATAAGCTAAGTCCTCAATAATAATTATCAAAGGATCGAGTGCCCAGTTGTTGATGTTTTGGCCATGTTCCCGAAAAAGTATGACCAGAGAACAAACGACTTCCTTAATTTACTTTAACTAAATAGCTGAAAAACGTGCACGGTGATTTCCGACGGTAACTTTTTTTTCAGAGCATACGTCTGTCGCTTGATCACAAATTTCATTCGGATTTGTAGTTTAGTTAATTTCGTTTGTTTTACTCACCTCGTAACAACTTAGACGAAACATACATCTGAGAACGTACAATACCCACAGGCTTGTTCAAATTCGTGTGAGGTTTGTAATCGAATTCGTTTCACTTTCCCTATATATCTAGACACATAATACGTCTAATAAAGTTCGCGTCGGAGGAGAATTATTCGTCTGCCTTGTTACCTACATTTACGGTCAATGTCTTTTAAAGTGTATCAAGTTTCAGTACTCCGCTAAACACCTATGCCAGTTTATAGTCAGCTATGGTGAGGTCATTGTTTACACAATGGCTCATTAGCATACGGCTTTGCTTATAGAAGACGACATGCTAGATNGAGTGGAAAGATAAAAAATAAAGGTTTTAAGATGGCTTGAAGCCACCACTGTTGCCTCAGAACAGGCCTTTCCTTGCTTTTTGCTTTTTCCAGGTGATAGCAATAAATACGTTGCTGACATCTAAGTAGCTGATTGCACATCGTTTGCTAATGTACTTGATAGATAGAGCTAATCGTCCTGTGCTATTCCAGGGGACCACACAGGCAGGCTGTTCGTGAATCATCGGTTCGTAACAGGTGGCTGACAACATTCAGTTTGTAGACCGTACGTTGCAGCGCTTACACTTCGATCGGTTGTTAACAAGCTTGTTATAAGCTTAGTCCTCAATAATAATTATCAAAGGATCGAGTGCCCAGTTGTTCAAGTTTTGGCCATGTTCCCGAAAAAGAATGACTTGTGAAGAAACAACTTCCTTAATTTACTTTAACTAAATAGCTCAAAAACGAGCGCGGTGATTTTCGACAACAACCTTTTTTAAGAGCATATGTCGGTCACTTGATTACAAATTTCATTCTAGCGGATTTGCAGTTTAGTTAATTTCGTTTGTTTTACTCACCTCGTAACAACTTAGACGAAACATACATCTGAGAACTTACAATACACGTAGGCTCGTTCAAATTCGTGTTAGGTTTATAATCGAATACGTCTTACTTTCCCTATAGATCTAGACGCATAATACGTCTAATAAAATTCCCGTCGGAGAACAATGCCTTTCAAAGTTTCAGAATCCCGCTAAACATCTATGCCAGCCTATAGTCAGCTATAGCGAAGTCATTGTTTATATTTTGGCTCATTAGCATACAACTTTGCTTACGAAAGACAACATGCTAGATATGAATT